AGTAAAATTTAGGTGTAATTTGAAAGAATAATGCATCATGAGTAATTGAAGTTTATCTTAGAACGCAAGAATAATCTAAATTAAAATTTTTTTGTGTTTATTTATTATTGAGACAGAGAGAAACAGAGCATGGATGGGGGAGGGGCAGAGAGCCAGGGAGGCACAGAATGTGAAGCAGGCTCCAGGCTCTGAGCTGTCAGCACAGAGCCCGACACGGGGCTCAAACCCACAAATTATGAGATCATGACCTGACCCGAAGTCAGACGCTTAACCGACTCAGCCACCCGGGCGCCCCAAGAATAATCTAAATTAAAATTATTAACTAATTTCCTACATTAATAAGTTCATTTAACAAATGTTTTTTGAGCTCTTATTACGTACCAGGCACTGTACTGGGAACTGGGAAGACAGCAGTAAACCAAAACTTAAAAAAATGTTTAAGTCAACTTTACCCAAAACCCTGTCATAATTCTGTAAATCTTTCATTTGAGTAAAAGTACAACCACGTGGGGCACCTGGGTGGCTCAGTCGGTTTGGCATCCAACTTCGGCTCGGGTCATGATCTCATGGTTCATGAGTACGAGCCTCACGACAGGTTCTGTGCGCGAGCCTGGAGCCTGGTTGGGATTCTCCTCCTCCCCCTCCTCAAAAATAAACAAACATTAAAAAAATACAATCACTTAAGTAATAGCAATTTCCTAAACTAAAAATGAGCAACAATTCAGAATTAATTTTGAAAGGAGATTTTTTAAAAAAAAAAAGTCTCTAGTCCAGCAGTGGATTTGACTGAAAGCCGAATCCACTCTGAAGAGAACTCACCACTTCAGGATAGAGAGGTGGTGGATTGAAATGGTACTCGAGAGAACAAAAGGAGGCAAACATTTTGGTGAATAGGTGTTTGTCATTGCTTCTGAAGGATGTGGTAGTAGAGAGAGAAAATCCTTTGGTGGAAAGGATTCTGTGGTGGTCGATACGTGCTTTTTGGAGAGGCAGGAGGAAGAAGTGATTCCTTTGGACGCACTGGCAACACAGGACTGTGAATTAGAGAATGAGGCATGTGGTAGTTAAATTTTTTAAAAGTTTATTTTGAGAGAGAGGGTATGCGAGCAGGGGAGGAACAAAGAGAGAGAGAGGGAGGGAGAGAGAATCTTAAGCGGGCTCCATGATGTCAGTGTAGCGTCTGCCACGGGGCTTGATCCCACAAATCGTGAGATCATGACCTGAGCTGGAATCAAGAGTGAGACACTTAACTGACGGAGTCACCCAGGCACCCCTGTGGCAATTTTATTTGTCAATTTGGCTAGGCTGTGGTGCCCAGTTGTTTAGTTAAACACCAGTCTAGATGTTGCTGTGAAGGTCACTTTTTAAGATGTGATCTGTACTTAAATCAATAGACTCTGAGTCAAGCAGATGACTTTCCATAATGTGGGTGAGCCTCATCCAATCAGTTGAAGGCCTTCAAAGCAAAGACAGGTTTTCCCAAGAGGCAGATCCGCCTCCGGGTTGCACTGTCTATTCCCACCTGGCTTTCCAGCCTGCGGATTTCGCATTCAAAGTTGCAGCATCAATTTTTCCCTGAGTTTCTGGCCTGCCAGCCTGCTCCACAAAGTCAGCCTTGTCTGCCCCACAATAGTGTGAGCCAACTCTTTAAAATAAATCTCTCTCCCCTCTGCATATGTCCTACTGGTTCTGTTTCTGGAGAATCCGACTGCAAGGCAGAAGAGCAAAGTCTGAGAGCAGGGGAGACTGAATGGAAAGGCCCGGGAAGATCTGCTCTCAGATGAAGCTGGCCCGGTGGTAAAGAAGCGTATTGAAGAATACTTAGTGCCCGCTGGAAACGTCTAAGTGATTGCAGAGAGTTTGACTTCTCTTGTGGTGTTTTTATCCTCCTTGGAATGCCAGCAATCAGTTTTCCAGATTTCTCTTTTTAGGTTCTTTCCCCATCAAATCTGCTTCACCACCACAGAATGCAGAACTGGACCCCTGAGGCTTTCCATCAGGAGTCTCCAGATTTGCTGCTCCCCAGGGCTCTTTACCAAGGCTGGCATCTTGTAAGGATAGCCCCACGCTGTCTTAATTTCTTTTTTTTTTTTTTTTAAATTTTTTTTTTTTTTACTTATTTATTTCTAGGAGAGAGAGAGAGAGACAGCGTGAGCAGGGGAGGGTCAGAGAGAGAGGGAGTCACAGACTGAAACAGGCTCCAGGCTCCGAGCTGGCAGTCAGCACAGAGCCCGACGCGGGGCCCGAACCCACGAACCGCGAGATCATGACCTAAGCGAAAGTCGGACGCTTAACCGACTAAGCCACCCAGGCGCCCCTGTCTTAATTTCTTAATTTGGCTAATCTCTTCAAGAATTTTACATTTTCCTCCAATTAGCTTGTTAAGTAGTATAGCAAGCTTCCCCTCCTCCCTCTACATCTGCTTTTTATTCCGTTTTTTGTTTTTTGTAGTTTTTAAAAAATTGTAGGGGCTCAGTCTTTGACTCTCAGTTTCAGTTCAGGTCACGATCTCACAGTTTCACGGGTTCGGGCCCCATGTCTGGTGCTGTGCTGACAGTAGGAGCCTGCTTGGGACTCTCTCCCTCTCTCTCCGCCCCTCCCCTGTTCATGCTGTTTCTGTCTCTTTCAAAATAAATAAATAAACTAAAAACAAAGAAGAAGAAGAAGAAAGAACTGTCAGCCACCCTAGAAACTGTTTTATGTGTCCCATCGCCATCTCAACCCCCGCCCTTCCCCCATTCTTTCGATTTTTTTTTTAAATTACTTTATTGAGATATAATTCACATACCATACAATTTGCCTAGTTACAGTGTATGATTAAATGGCTTTTAGTGTATTCAGGGTCATGCAGCCGTCTCCTGACTTTTATAGCACTTCCTTATACCTAGTACCTATAGGAAAGGCAGGGTAAATGTTCTATCCCTTAATTTATCAGTTTTTGAGATATTTAATTAATTTTCTTCCATCCTTCAAATATGACCAGTTAGTTGAGGGAGTTCTGTTTTTGGATTTTAAGAAATGTTTATTTAGAGAAGAGAGAGAAAGAGAGAATACCAGCAGGGGAGGAGCAGAGACAGAAAGGGAGAGAGGGAATCCCATGCAGACTCCATAGTGTCAGCGCAGAGTGGGACGCGGGGCTCGATCTCACAAACCGTGAAATCATGACCTGAACCGAAATCAAGAATAGGATGTTTAACCCTGAGCCTCCCAGGCACCCCATGTTGTTGGTTTTTTTTAAACCATTATATATACTCATGGTTTTAAATATATTTGATGAATTTCAATCCACTGCAAATTATTAGTGAAGCCCGAATTGTCTCATTTTGACCAACATTGCCTCCTATGTCATTTTGACACAACTCTAATGGTCTTTGGTAGCTTTCTTGCTGTCTGGTATGATCAGCTGCTATAAAGCATGTCAGACTTTGGTAATTTTATTTTTTATTTTGAGAGAGAGAGCGAGAGCGAGAGAGCCAGGGAGGGGCAGAGAGAGAGAGAGGGAGAGAGAATCCCAAGCAGGCTCTGCATTGTCAGCCTAGAGCCCGATGTGGGGCTTGAACCCACAAACCACGAGATCATGACCTGAGTTGAAATCAAAGGTCTGTCACTCAACTGACTGAGCCACCCAGGTGCCCTGAGACTTTGGTAATTTAAACAATGTACTATTGATATAGGAATAAGCAAATGAGTTCATAAAAATATGGGAACTTAGTAAGTCATAAGGTTATATAGTGGACACCCTTTTTTTTTTTTTTCCTGCCAGCATTTATTACATTTTATACTAGGAACAGTTTCCCAAAGTTTATTTTGGCTGTCACTCCTCATTCATTCAGCCTCACTGAAGTGTGTTCAGAGGGATTGATCACACCTTCAGCTCTATCTGATACCTTGATTGACTTAAGCCAAGCAGCCTATTCAGTTGCCTTGTTCACAGTGGCCGTTCTGGAGATAGGCATGACCAGGGTCCATGAAAGACAAGAAGACATTCATTCACGGGGTCTTCTGGAGAGATGTTGGGATAATTTGCCTTCCTTTTGGAAGGAGATATCAAATGTCTACTTCCTACCATTCGTACATATTAACTGAAGTGGTATTAAGAACCTAGAAGAGACTATTATTAGAAGACACAGAAAGGTAAAAAGCCATATTGATAGATTGATAATTTGGGTACTTGATGTCAGGGCTACAAATCACCGTGAGTAAAATTCAAAGACAGACAACAGAATGAAAGTAAACATTGCCTACATACAAAACAAGAATCCGTACCCATACTATTGTAAACCTTCTGCATGGCGATAAGAAAAAAAGGCAAACCAGTAGAAATACGGGCAAATGCTATGAGCATATAATCTAAACAGGAGGATAGAGAAAGGGGAAAAAACCCAAACATACAAAAGCGCTCAATTTCAAGCAAATTTAGATTAATTTTAATTTATTACATACAATGTTCAACAAACATGTGTCTTGTCTCCTTGAATCTATTTCTGCTTTTGAGAAATTAAACCTTGTAAACTTAAACTTTAGAACATGATAGCAGACATCTTGGTGTCTGGGCCTCAAGCCGAGGTTGTGCATAACGTGAATGTCCTCTGAAACTTACCATCATCTTTGGATTATATTCTTAATCATGTGCTTAATCTAATACACTTAGGGACCACTGGAACTTTTTCTGGTCAGATTAGTTCAAACAGTCAGAAATTGTTCTCTTTCCTTGAAATAAAGCTGATTGAAGGATTACATTGTCTGAATAGCTGTAGGATTCCGAAACTCCTTTATAAAGACTTACTTTCTTTTTAGATTTAAAAATATCCATGATTTCTTTTGGATGAATGGTCTAAACATGTACGTTTTACCAGGGCCTTTTTTATTTACCGTAGCTATAGTTATCTGTTGCTCATCGTATGTGAATATGTTACAGGAGAGGAAATTGTTGACTCTCTGCCCAGGAGGGAGAAAAAAAATATCTATCAGATTCAAAATATGTATGCCTTTTGTTCCAGCAATTCTACTTTTAGGAGTCTTTCCTGCAGAAATACTCACCGAGAATAGACACAAACATACTCACGACCACATACAAGGATATTCACTGCACCATTGTTTGTAATAAACAATTCACTTGAAAACGTGATAAACGCCCATCAATAAAGGAATGGGTAAAGAAATCACAACCTGTCCATAAACTGAGCGACGGCTACATGTATCACCTTGGAACAATGTCTGTATACAAGAAGATTCTGGCAGGAAAAAGAACTCACCCCAGACGGTCAAGTGAAGAGATTTTAAGGAAGCGTTTAATTACAGAGGTTGGGCAGCGTTAGGCCAACAAAGAAGAGATGGAGAAACGCCTGCAGATTAGCAATAGCGGGAAGTCCTCACCGTCCCTCGGGTTTAAGGTGCAAAGGAGAGGACGTAACAGGAGCCCAGTGTCATTTGGAGCCACGGAGGCAGGGCCACAAGTGGCACTCGGCCAAAGAGGGGTACATCAGCTGCATGAGACAGAGCTGAAGCAGGTAAACGCAGGGAAGGAACACTGATTTCTTTTCTCCCATGCTCTGACCTCTCGCTGGTGCTTCCCATGGGCTGACCCCTGTTAGAAGCATCCGGCAAGGGAGCCTGAGTGAAACCATCCACAGGGACACAGAGCAGGGCAGAGAGAAAGGCCAAAAAAAAAAAAAAAAAAGACCTATGGGGGTGGGGAAATGACTAGCACAATGTTTATGTTATATTTTTTAGGCGGGGTAAAAATGTTGCATAACCATATACACAGCAATATGCTATTTGTATAATCATAAGCATTATGTGAGAATATGTAGCAAACTATAAACCACAGTGTTAGTTCTGGAGGCTGAAAGCAAACAGATGGAGAGGGAAAGTTTTCTAACTTTCTACCTTTTTATATTATATAAACATGTTACAGAAAGTATCTCTTTTGTGGTTAGGGAAATAAAGATAAACTGTATTTTCCATGAAAAGAAAGCCTTGTTATCCCTAACGTGAAGACAACTTAGGAGAAACCCCTACATGATTATTAAATAGTTGGTTCACGCATGGGCACTGCAGAGAAACACCTCACAAAACACCTCGCAAAAAAAAAAAAGTTAATTATTTTAATGGGAGAGTCAAAGAAGAAATAGATCTTGTAGGCTTGTGGCGGTGGTTAGGGTCCTCTGTTTGCAAAGATGAGAAATCAAACCAAGATCGCTCAAAGAATAAAAGGGGAGTTAATTAAAAAAAAAAAAAACACGGATATACAGATGAGTCATGGAAGGAAAAAGGGATTCTATCTGTTTGCTCTCAGGTCCTTGTCTCTATATTATTCCTCACAAACACACCGTTTCTGCTCTTTGGTGCACATTGTAGGCAAAATGTAGCTGCCCCATGGATCTGGACTTCCATACTTCCATTGCAGCAAGGCTAAGTTAATTCTCTTTGGGGCCATATTCCAACCTCCCAGGAGAAAGAATCTGATTGGCTAAGTTGGGTTCCGACGGCCACCTCTGGTCCCATTGGCTAGGGTCAGTGGCACAGAATCATGTAATGTAGTACCAACACAGATTCTGGAATTCTCCAGAAGGAGATAAAGAGATATTGTTAGATCAAGCTTAGGGGATATGTTCCTAAGCTACTACAGTTGTAAATAAGGCAGAGAACATTGTAAATTGATGAGTTAAAAATCATTTTTGGATTAGGATATAGCGGAAAAGTAAAATAGATATTCTGAGAGAGCGATAGAAAGGCAACGGTAAAACACTGATATAAAATAAATTCAGTTGGAAGTCAAATGCTTTACTATTAGAATAATAAAGTATACATTTTTTAACTATTTAAAAGGTTACAGATAAGCAGAAATTATAGATATTCACTGTTTTGAAAAAAGCATAACATATTTATAAACACATTTTGTAGGTCCCAAAAGGATTCCATATTTATTTTCTAATTTATTTAAGAAAACCCTAGCAAGGCAATTGAGGATCAGAGAGGTTAAGTGATTTGCTCAAACTCACACAGGAACCAAAGACTCAGGACCAAGGCCAGTGTTATTATTCTATATTCAGCGTTCTACCTTATAGAATCTGCTTTCCCTCTTTTTCAAAGGTAATTTAAGCTTTTTTTTAAAGCATAGAAAGTAACAGCAGAAATAATTTTTTAAAGTGCCAAGTTTTAGGAAAGTGGGTTAAAAAGTTATTTTCTCACCTAATTCAAAAGCAAAGAGAGTTGAAACCCTACCATAGAAGGGTTATTATTATTATTTTTAAAGCAAATAACTAGGGACACCTGGGTGCTTCAGTTCACTGAGCATCTGACTCTTGATTTCAGCTCAGGTCATGATCCCAGGGCTGTGGGATCCAGCTCCCCATTGCGCTCTGCACTGAGCAAGGAGACTGCTTGAGATTCTCCCTCTCTCTCTCTCTCTCTCTCTCTCTCTCTCTCTTTCTCTTTCTCTCTCTCATTCTTCCTCTGCCCCTCTCTCCTGCTCACATGCATTCTCTCTCTCTCTCTCACAAATAAAAAAATAATACAATAAAATAACAAAACAAATAACTAGAACAATAACAATCAATTTCCAGCATATTGAAAGATACATCCTTTTTCTTTTCTTACATGTTTTATTTATTTCTAGGAGAGAGAGAGAGAGAGACAGCATGAGCAGGGGAGGGTCTGAGAGAGAGAGAGTCACAGACTCCGAAACAGCCTCCAGGCTCCAAGCTGGCAGTCAGCACAGAGCCCAACGCGGGGCTCGAACCCACGAACCGTGAGATCATGACCTAAGCGAAAGTCGGACGCTTAACCGACTAAGCCACCCAGGTGCCCCAAGAAAGGCAATTTTTTAACACTAAGGCCACATTTACCACATTGAAAGATACATCCTTGCTTCACTATAATGTTTAATGTGAAATGACCAGATTCTTCATTACAAAATAGGCTCTGAGCGAAGTCAAAAAAGAAAACTAATATCCAACATTCTTTTGCCTGTAAGAGACGTGCTAAAACTGAAACCATTCAAGGCGTCTAAGGGTTGAGGGAGAGCTTAAGATTTATTATGCCTCTGTACGTACAAACCCAGCAGATGTTCTCATCGAGGTTGCAATGATTATTGTATCTGTCTGAGAACTTGAGAGATAATGACTAAGCTTGGGAAAGGGAGAGACAAAGGTAATAGTTTCCTGGTGTCCTGTCCTGGGAGATAAGAGAATCTCTATGGCTACTGGCAGGGTGTGGACTCAGCTGCCGTCTTTCTGGCACCAGAGGAAAAGGCATGTGGTAAAGAAGATACGCTGTAATAGAGCCCATGGGGTAAATGCTTCTATGTTAATGAGGTAATGTGTGTTTCACTCACGTGAGCCCAGGTGTGCTGTGCACACCTGCGGAGGAGGAAGTGTAACAAAATTAAACTGGCTTCAATCGATCCCATTAGGGAGATTGGGGCAATTGAAGAACTCCCAGTGTCAGATTTTTCCAGAAAAATAAGTAAGATTATATATATATATATACACACACACACACACACACATATATATAAATATATTTTCCAGATTATGTATATATTTTTCAGATGGAGACAAGAAGATAGATTCTCACTTTAAAAATAAAAAGACTGGGGCACCTGGGTGGCTCTGTGGGTTAAGTGTGCAACTCTTTTTTCAGCTCAGGTCATGACCTCATGGTTTGTGGGATGAAGCCCTATATTGAGCTCTGTGCTTATGGCTCAGAGCGTACTTGGGATTCTCTCTCTCCTCTCTCGGCCTCTCCCCTGCTCATGCACACATGCACTGCACGCTCTCTCTCTCTCTCAAATAAATAAAGAAATAAGCATTAAAAATAAAAATAAACATCCTATTATGAAGCTGTGATTTTTAAAATTATATTAAATCAAAAACAGAGAAATTACTCAGTGGAACAGAATAGAGTTTCTAGAAACAGATGGAGACAAGAGTAAGAAACCAATATAAGACACACCAGCAATAACACATTTATAGAAAAGCATATTACTGTTTTATAAAAGTGACCAACATTATTTTATCAACCTGGAGAAGAATTAGCTTAACTCCCACCATGCACTGAAATGAACTCCAGGTGGGTCAAGATAGATGAACATGTTTATGGTGGATGCTTTCTTCTTCTTTGTTCTTGTTTTCCTTAGTCATCAGTTTCCCTCTCCTCAACACCCCACCATAATTTCTGACTATGAGATTTCTTCTCCCTGACTATATGTGGCATTAGTGGGAGGGTAAAGTTCTGTTACCACGTTGCATTCGGAAGCTGAAATGATTCACTCTCCTTCCCTCTACCCAGTACAGCCGGCGTTGGGCACTTTTGACCTAAGCTCAGCCGGTTCCAGGTTCACTCCTAGAATTTTGATTTTAAACTGATGCCAGTACAAGAAAGGACAGGGTTTGGTCCACGGCATCCAAACAGGCTATTCCAGCTGTAACATGGCTAATATCGTTCCAGCTGTGGTTCGCCAGGGCTCCTTGGTTCACTCTCAGGCACGTTCCTGCAGATGCATGCCAATAGTTTGATTATTTAGCCAGAGTGAGATTTTGTTTCTATATCCACATAGAGGCTGTAATTCCAAAGAAATAACAGGAGGAAGAGACTATATGAGACACAAGATGGTTGGTAGTGTCACAGTTCATCCTGGAATATGTACCTCCTCCATAAGAAAAGCACTCTGGGAGATGACCCGATGGTTTGCTTTTCTTCCTCTTGCCTTCCCCTCTGCAGGAGGCTACGTCTCTAGCTCACTGATGTTGGCTTGGCCACGTGACTCGATGGACCCATAGAGTGGAAGTGGATATGATGGTCTGAGCAGCTTTGAAGTATGACTTGCCAATTTTCTTTCCAAAATATATATTTTCTTTTAGCTACTCCATTCCACTTTACCAGTAGTGTCTAAATCCATGATAATCTCATGCATTTACTTTATTGAAAACATTTTAAGTGTTTTTATTTTATTTTTGAGAGAGAGACAGACAGAGTGTAAGTGGAGGAGGAGCAGACAGACTAGGAGACAGAATCCGAAATAGGCTCCAGACCCTGAATTGTCAGCACTGTGCCCGCGACGTGGGGCTAGGACCTGTGACCCGTGGGATCATGAGCTGAGCTGAAGTCAGATGCTTAACCAACTGAGCCACTAAGGCACCTCACATTCATTTACTTTAACAGCCTTCTAACTCATCTCTAGCCTTTTAGCTGTGTACCTCTGAAAACCATCCTTCATACAGCTGTAAAGCCACAGATTACAACCTTCCATGCCTCCCTCTCCTCCACATGGCATCTGAGAGCCATCATGATTTACCTCTACACATTGTCTCAGCCTCGTCCCTGGATATTCCCAGCTTCCCACTTGATGCTTAGCAATATGAAACTGCCCGAAGCAGCCCGAACACTACGCCACGCCTTTGTCCATTCTGTTTCCTTATTCTGTCTTCCTCTCCCTTCTAATTTTGTCCATATAACATCTGTTCAACTCTAGCTGCTACCATTGCTTCCAGAAATTCTTCCCTGGTATTTCCTAGGCACGCACTTTCCTTGTGCTGTTTTTGTGCACACACCTTTGGCCCTTTCCACGTTGAATTGAAATGATCTGTATATTTCTCTCTAATAGATGGCCATTTCCTGGAGGGCAGGGATGGTATCTCATTCAGCTTTTTATCCTCAAAATCAAGCACGATGTCTGGCACACCGTAGGTATTTAATTCACATTCATGGAGCTGAAATAAACCAAGCAAATTAACCATTAACATAAGAAAACTAAGTTGTCTTTATTTAAATGTTTATTTATTTATTTGAGAGAGAGAGTGCGCACTCAGGGGAGGGGCAGAGAGAAAGGGAGAGAAAGCATCCCAAGCAGGCTCCTACTGGCAGTGATCTCATGAACCATGAGCCGAAATCAAGTCAGACGCTTAACTGACTGAGCCACCCAGGCGCCCCAGAAAACTAAGTTGTCTTAAACCCTGCAGCTGGGATTCCTAAAAACTAATGGCATTGTAAAGCAATTCTTCTAGAAAGCGGTATAGCAACGTGTAACAAAAACTATGAAACCGTTCTTCCTCCTCCACTTGGTAGTTTCCCATTTTGTGAATACTCCCCAAAGAAATAATCCAAATGGGTAAAATGTACACAGATGTTCCTGGCAACTCTAGTTATAATAGTGAAGAAAAAAGAAACCCCTGGAAGCTATCCAAGTGTCTAATAGGGAAATGACTAAGCAAACAGTGGGATTATTACATAGCTATTAAAAATGACAGAGGTGAGGACTATGTCAACATGGAGAAGTGTGTCTCTGCAGGAACGTTAAGTGGAAAAAACACAGACAGTGTTTAAACGATAGTGGTTAAGGAGGAGTGTGTACATTAACAGAGATCAGAGGCCAGTTTGGAGAAATGAAAATGGCTCGAGTTCATTCGGCCTTTTTTTCTTGTGCATTTTCCATGACTTGATGAAATAATAGTTGACATATCATTACAACATAGATATCCTGAAAGTCCTCTGCAGTATAAAGCTCTAAGTAACCTGCCAGGTTGTGTTTTCCGAGAGGTAATTTCATGCTAAAATCTCCTCAAGTCACTATGAAAATAATGACATTTCTTTGAGAGAGCGAAATTCTTTTCTTTCCTTTAACTCAACAAGCAATTCTGAGAACTTTATGTGCTAGAGAGCTCATGTTCTCATGGTGTTTACAAAACACCTGGGCAAAAATACTCAGATAGACCCCTGTTATTATTTTAACCTACTTTTATTTATTGGAGTGACTGTACATATTAGGACCTATTAACACAGGAGAGTTTGAAAGACCTTTGGCCTAAACCTCTCATTCACAAATTGTTTCAGTTTTATACTTTTGATGTTGACTCCAAAAGAGATTCGATGTATAGTCACTGAGACATGCTGGTAAAGATTAATACGAAAAGGTTTCGTATAATTCTCAACTTATGTTGCTTTACCAGCGTAGTGCACTGTGAATTAATGTCTTACAAATCTTGTGATTATCTTGTGAATAGCAAAATACTGACATTGTAATATACATTACATTGCAATGAAAAGAAACCACACTTTTTAATATCTTGCTTGAGAAATTTTTTACTTTTTTAATTCACTGAGATCCTCAAAAAATGGAGGTGGTCCCAGTGTCCTGGATCTCCGGGAGACTTCTGGTTATAATCACCAGTTTATTTTTAAAATGTGATAGTTTTAACCAGGGTCCCAAAATTAATGGCGATTAATAACTGTATAAGCACCTAACTCACAGGGGCATCCTGCTGGCTTAGTTGGTTAAGCATCCAACCCTTGATTTCGGCTCAGGTCATCATGATCTCCTGGGTTGTGAGATCAAGCCCCATGTCCAGCTCTGTATTGATAGCCTGGAGCCCGCTTGAGATTCTCTCTCCCCTACTCTGTCCCTCCCTCCCTCACGGCACGCGCGAGTGCTCTCTCAAAATAAATAACTAAATAAACATTAAAAACAAAAACAAAATAATCACCTAACTCACAAACCGCTGTCCATTAGCCTTTCTGTTTCTGCTGCCATGTAACCAGCGGTCAGAATATTCACAGCTTCTAGAGCAGAGGTTCACAACCTTGGCTGCAGATCAGAATCACCTCCGTTTTCCCTGAACCCACTCTGGACCTCCCGATTTAGACTCTTTGGGACTGGGGTCTGGAAATGACGATGCTTAAAAGGCTCTCTCCCTCTCTTCTTTCCTCCCCTGTACTTCCTTGTGGTTCCAGAACTCAGAATTCACGTGAGTACTGTTAATGGTATAGCTTATCTGCATCATGGGTTTAACAGATCTGAAGGCTAATCTGAGGGTCAGCCACCATTTTCAATAGTCTCTCCGGGGCAATGTGTTACAAGTGTCCCAAAATAGGAGTTTGAGGACGCAGCTCACAGATTTTGGGGCAGAACTACCCACATAAAAGTTTTGATCAAAAGTTTTCAATTATTCCTCAAATTTCTTAACGTGCTTAAATATACCAAAGTAAATGCTGAGATGAAAGTGTTATATTCAAGTGTCCATTCTTATAAATGACTCAACCTATTATGTTGACCATTCTCCTATACCTTCTGTTTCTTCACTGTAGGTCTGTACTGTGATTACTGACACCCTGAAGATGATGATCCTGTATCCCCGTAAGAGTCTTCACCCAAGAAATAAAAGTTTAACTGTGTTCATCTAAACCGAAAACACACAAGACAATATCTAGGGAAGTTGGGAACTGAAGAAGCAAGGTACAGTCCCATCTTGCCCCCGTCCCGCTGCACTCTGGCTCACATTCCATTTGGAGTGATTAGATCTATGGGGAGGGAGGAAGTTATGTTCCTAACTCTCACCTGACAAGTGCAGGGAGATACCGAAGGCACCTTGACTAAGGTTATACTTCTCCTTTGAGGAGCTACAGTCAGAGTATTTGGACACCATCCAAATTTGGAAAAATCAAGTTCAAAAGGACTGTGGTTGTGAGTTCTAGCAAATGGTGTTGTGTTGATAAATACAAAGCATAGTTCCACAGGTGGAGAAATTCCTTATGATCCAAAAAGACATGGCTGTTAAGACTTTCTAGATGAACCGGCGAGTTGAGACAATAATTATTTAAGTGATAAACCAATTTGGCCTCCCTATTCGACGGTGGGAATATTAGAAGGCTATTCCAGGCTTCCAGGCTGAGCTCCAACTACCTATCTGAACGCCCCAGAAAGTATCCACAGATGCTCCATGTGTATTTCCCTCCTGAATTATACAGATGATTGCCCTTCAGCCCGTGCTTCACTAGCCGGGGACTAGAATCCATTCATTTAACTACTGTATGGGCTCTAATCGCCACTTCAAATGAAAACCCAGGAAGCCAGATCCCGGCTGTTGAAAGCGTATAATTAGCTCCTTGTATAGCCCCCCCCCCCCCCACTGATTTTTCTGACGCATTTGGTCTGCAGCTTGCCCTTTCTGAGACCTCCAGTATCTTCTCCCCGGCTGGAGATGCCCAGACTGCAGGCAGCACTTCCTGTGGGTGTGGTCTTACATTCTTAAGGCTGTGTGCTCAATGGATCGCCTTTCAACCACTCAGATCCACAGTGATTTTTAAAACAGGGGAGTGGATTATGAGTAGCCATCTCAGCCAGAAGGGGGTTCTCTCCCTTCTTTTTCTTTGTGAAAAATGATCTTGTGATGGTGCCCCCTCAAGAACACTATAATTGGTCAGCCTGGGGTACTTAGTTGTCCTCCCAGATGACGTCATCAGCTATTCTCAGGAGAGGAAAGGCAGGGTAAGCCCCTTGGGAGAATGACAACACTTGTTTCAAGTTGGGGAAGAGCCTGTGGTTCTTTTCCTGCGTTTGGGGGAAAGCGAACACACAATGTTCATTTCCTAGATACGGGATGTGCTGTGTGGCTGCAGGTCATTTTCCACCGTGTCACATCCTTCTGGTTGAAGGCAGCAGGGGCCAGGACAGGAAATGGCAAATTCTGAGAATGAGACAAGGCTTTCCCAGGGCAGTCATTGGTTCTCTGGAACTATAAAGCATGCTCATCCAGAAACAGCCTCAGATTTTTCTTTCCCGGAGATAGCCAGAAGTGAGTGGTAAGTGGGGGAGCCTAGAGGGACTCTGTCTGAAAGACCGCCATTGGGATTGTAATACTAGGGTTATATCCTTGGTCCACTATATATTTTGTGTGACTTTACCTCATTTTGGTGAGAGGTCTCTTTACTTGGAAATTTATCACTGGTGGGTGGAATAATGGGGGCATGCAGATACAATTAAGACCTAGGAGTCAGGAGAGCAAGATTCTAGATGGTTCTGTGAAGAATCAGCTGTATCTGGAATGTGTCCGTGTTTCAATTTTCTCATCTTTCAGATGAGAATAATGATGCTACCCTGATATGTCACAGTATTGAAATGCTCTATTTCTACGGCTTATTTGCCACTTTTAAGAAGTTCCTGATAATGATGAGTGCAGTGGCTAGGAAGGTGGGAATCTTTGGCAACTAGGAAGGGTGTACTTTCACCCCACGTGTACAGTTCCCTCTCTTAGTCATCTTCAATTAGCTTCAACTCAACTTGGTACTAGGTAGTCCTCAGTGAGTCCTTAAAAATGTTGGACGCTTTATTTTATTCAGCGGTTACTCATTTTTTAAGGAAGCGTTTGTAATAAAGAAACGTAGCAGTATTCATGTAATGGAGCTTAGTTTTAATGAAGCACCCATCAAAGAGTGAGGTTTAGAAAAAATAGCCCAGATAACATTTTAGGCTTGACCGCGAGGTAAGAGCCTGGAAAAACAACAAGCAGAAGAGATGCTTCAGGGAAGCATCTAACTTAGAAAAAATTAGTTCCTTACATCTGATAGATAATATGACTTTTGAGTTTTGGAGGGACTTGTCTTTTGCACTCATCAGAGAGGGAAAACGATGAATTGCAAAAGTCAGTCTTCAGGTAAGGACAGGGCTTTGTGAACTGGTACAACCCACCACCTGTAAAGGGTTGGGGAAGTTTTTGTTTGTTTTTAAGAGTTTAAGAAAGTGTTTATTCATTTTTTGAGAGTGAGGAGGGGCAGAGAGAGAGAGGGAGACACAGAATCCGAAGCAGGCTCCAGGCTCTGAGCTGTCGTCAGCACAGAGCCCAGGGCAGGGCTCGAACTCACAAACCATGAGATCATGACCCGAGCCGAAGTCGGAGGCTTAACCGACGGAGCCAGCCAGGCGCCCCTCAAGGGCTGTTTTAAACAGAGCAGAGGCCTCAGTGTTGCAGCCGAGTAACGTCAGCCCCCGTCCTCACTGGGCTTACATCTTAGTTAATAGTTCACACAGCCCCCCCCCTTAGCGTTCCCCGGGGGGAGAGAAGCGGCCGAGAGCACGACTCCCGCTTGCACACGCGTTTTTAAGGTCCCGAGGGCTAGGGTGCCTTGTCCCAGGTGTCAGAGCCGGTCCCTGCGGACCTGACCCACAGGGCTCGCTGGACAACGAGCCGCCCGCGTCCCCTCGCGCGGCGGCGCCTCCCTCGGGCGTGGGCGCGCGCGACCCCCGGCGCTGACGGCGCGTCTGCTGTGTCCCCGCAGGGCATGGAGCGGCCGGCGGCGCGCGAGCTGCAGGGCGCCGACGCGCTGCGCCGCTTCCAGGGGCTGCTGCTCGACCGCCGCGGCCGGCTGCACGGCCAGCTGCTGCGCCTGCGCGACGTGGCCCGGCGCCTCGAGCGCCTCCGCCGGCGCTCCCTGGCGGCGCACGTGGCCGGCGGCGCGCTGAGCGCCGCGGGCGCCGTGGCCGCCATCGTGGGCCTCTCGCTCAGCCCGGTCACCCTGGGCGTGTCGCTGGTGGCGTCGGCCGTGGGGCTCGCGGCGGCCACCGCCGGAGGGGCCGTCACCGTCACGTCCGACCTCTCCCTGCTCTTCTGCAACGCCCGGGAGCTGCGCCGCGTGCGGGAGATCGCCGCCGCCTGCCAGGACCAGATGCGCGAGATGCTGAGCTGCCTGGAGTTCTTCCGCCGCGGCCAGGGCCGCGGGGACCGCCCGCTGCTGCAGTGCGGCCACGACGCCTCCGTCGCGCTCTACAACTCCGTCTACTTCCTCGTCTTCTTCGGCTCACGTGGCTTCCTCATCCCCCGGCGGGCCGAGGGCGCCACCAAGGTTGGCCAGGCCGTGCTGAAGGCCAAGATTCAGAAACTGGCCGAGAGCCTGGAGGCCTGCACCCGGGCCCTGGACGAACTCAGCGAGCAGCTGGAGGCCCGAGTCCAGCTCTGCACGAAGGGCGGCCGTGGCCACGACCTCAGGGCCTCTGCCGCCCAGCCCGCGGGGCCGTTTTCCTGAGAACATCCTTTCCGCCTTGTCCCCCTGGGAGGCTCCAGCTTTGTAGCTCCCTCGGGAAAACACGAAGCTGGATGAGGAGCTGAACTGAACGCAGAGGATGGGAAAAACCGTTCTGGAAGCTGGGAGGGGGGAGGAGGGAGTCCTCACAGACCTTCTCAGCTCCCCATCACAGGACATCCTGCCTGGGGTTGAGCGCTAGGGGCTTCTTACTTGCCTCATCCTATGGGATGGGTGACCTGAAAACTATGTTTCCTTTATCAAAACCGCTCAGTTCCACAACGGTGGGCGCTACGGTTTTAAAGCTGTTTCAGGGTCCCTGGCACAGCGTCTGGGGCGGTGTGGACAGCTTGGGGAGGGGCGGTGTGGACAGCCTCTGGGTCCTCTCCAAGCCCCACTAGGCTTTGAGGTCCTCAGAGTGTCTGTGAGAGGAGACGCTAGCTCTGAAACCTCTCTTTCGGCGTTTCTGAGTATAAAATGCTCCAGAATCCAGAGCAAATCAGACCCCCTCCGAGCTAGCAGGCTTCACGAGCCGAGGGGGCCCCCTCCCACTGAGGTGCCCTTCCCTCCCTCCTGCTTGTACACGCTCACAAATCCAGCCTGGGGCAGAGTGCATCTTCCTGGGTGGGGAGGGGGTCCTAGCCAGACCTCCAGATAGTCTGGGACGGACCAACTAAAGGGTCCTGTAATCCCTCCCTCCTCGCGACAAGAAGCGGAGGCCAAGGAAGATCAAGTGACTAACAGCTTCATTTACCGACATCCTGGTGGACAGAAGAGAGCGATGGCTTTGAGTTAGACAGTCCTGGGTTGGTTACTGGCTCTCTTGCTCCCGTGTGACCTTGGCCAGTTCATTTCTCTCTCAGACCCGGCTTCCTGGTCTGTAAAACACACGCTAAAAGCTCACCCTGTTGTGAGGTATTAAGTGGGATTAAAGTGCCAAGCTCAGTGCCTGGCTCACAAAGTGCGGCCCCAGGACTGGCAACATTAGAATCACCTGGGAACTAGTTAGAACGGCAAATTCTTGGACCCAGCTGTCAACTTGAGGGACCAGAAGCTGGAGGTGGGGCCCCAGCAACCTTTGTATAAACAAGCCCACCGGGGTGATTCTGATAACCTATTAAGGTTTGAAAACCACTGCAGCTGATACTGCCATGTGATGCCCTCATGAGCATTCGTGATGTCTTACGGCCTCTCCGGGAGCTCCGTGGTCTTCAGAGTCATTCACAGAAGGTCAAGGACGGACAGTGTTCCAAAAGTAAAAGAAAGAATGTGTGTGAGCGTGGGATAGGTCAGTGCCTGCTGGGGCAATTTCCCGCCGTGTGAAGTAAGGGATATAACACAGTAACCCCTTTAGAGGGCAGTGTTGCCCAATCATTGTAGAAACTGGTACCTAAAGGACTGTGAACTTCATGCAAATTGACCTTGGTCACCTTCTATGAAAACTGGCAGACCCTGTGTTTTGTTTTTAATTTATTTTAAGTTTGTTATTTAATTACCGCTTCTTATTTGCATTTTATTTTATTTAATCACCACACCACATTTAGGAAGTAATAGGAATAGCAAGTGGCTGAATGGGAGAATAGGACGCTCTTTTAAGGAGATGGGGTTGAGTTTGCCTTCCTCTGGGGGCTCCTGAGCTGCAAATAACATTACTCTCCTTGAATAAGCCTCCCTCTGTCAGAGGGGAATTTCATTCGCCAGCAAACGTGGGAAGTTCTGAATAGAGACGTGGAGCCGAATTTAAGCTTATCAGTGGAGGTTTGACTTGCGGGCTACGGAAAAGATGCAAGCGTATTTATCCTGAAGGCCCTTTGCCAGCAAATAGCACCTTATCTGAACCTGTTTTATTCAGGGGAAGAGCCCCAATTTGGAGGTATGTGAAGGACACACTCAGTCCTGTGAAATGATGTCTCATGGGTGATAGAAGAAATAGCTTGTGTCATGGTGGCGATGTGTCATACTTTCACTTTAGGGTCTGTAAGGAATCTGTAAGCTGTCTCTAAGAAAATACGTATAATTTCTTCAATTTCCATTCCTACAACTGCAATGTTAAAAAATATGTTGAAAAGGCCTTGGGACCGCACACGCAACACTTGGCTGTGTTATTTAAGTATTTAAAATGCTTAAAATTTGCCCGGTCTACCCCCAGTCTTCCCAATGATGGCAGAATGCCTGAGGAACTATACTTTCAGTGCCGGGGGAAGGGGTTAGTGGCTGCAGATTTTTATTTTTCCTACAAATTACAATCGATCTGTATCCTGGTTTCTTTTGAAGTTGGTACTGGTTTCTTTTTAAACTGGTGTCGTTTCTTAGACTGCCTTGCATAGAGAGCTAGCACTGGAGGTCACCAGAATGTACTTTGCATTGCCGTTTGTATTATATCACACAGGTACAACTATTCCCGAACTCCAGATTTGTTAGTGCTTAAGTTTGAGTTATAGTCTTCCAAAGGGTGAGCTGTTCCCTAAAAATAAACCGGGCATGTCAGGAAACAGCGGCAGCAAACTTTTCCTATCATTGGGGTGTTTTGGGGGATGTCAAAGTCAAACTCACAAAGTTATCAGTTCAGTGGCCCTCTTTACACCTAAGGAAGAGTGTCTACTTTGGATTAACGCTTTGCACATAATAGGAACGCAATAAGTGCATTTGAATAATTGAATGAACTGCTTAGCTACATTAATAGGAATTCGTTGATAATGAAAGCTTATCCATTTTCTTATGTGTCTGTTATAAAGACTGGAGCCTCTATCAGGATTTAGTCAAATGCAGTTAAATGGATTCTAGAGACAAATATTTATTTATTTCTTTTGTGGGAATGTGAATAAGGCTTTTCCTTAAGGCCTTCATTCTATAAACAAACAGACTGCAATGGTATGTTGTAAAAGGAAGAAGGGAGAGGAGTATTTGGATTACAAATGTACTTCAGAAAAATGTCCGAGTTTGAAAAATAAAATTTTTGTACTCGAGTGTAAGTGCTTCTGTTAGTTTCTTGGGTTTCTAATCAGTTGGATTTTTTTTTTTCTCCCACAGAAAAGGAGGTTTATTTAGTTCTACATTTCAAGGATTCAGTAAAACTATGTTCTGCTCTCGGAAAAAAATGATCCTTAGCAACCAGCTGATCTTAATCGCTTTGATGCATTTGCCCTCAGTCACCTGTCATTTCCAAGATGGCAAATGTCAAAGTCGAAAGTATTTACTGAGAGAAAAAATACAAAAGTGCTGTAGAAGCCACCCTACATCAGATAAGTTAAACCATCAGTCAACTTGATATATTTCTCATTCAATATGTTCGTGCGAAAAGAAAGTAGAGAGGAGTGAGACATTGAGATAAAAACATTGTGCAGAGATAAATGGGGATACAGTTCAATGCAGCGATTTCTGAATTCCACATTTTTCCCCATTGTAGCAGAATAAGTCCTTTCCTTTCATTGAAAGAAATTGCCCATTCATCAGACTTCTTGACCTTTCTGTAATTAATTACCTAATCTTATGTCTGCTTGTGTATGAATTTTTAATAACTTTGAAAAGGGGCAGACGTGAGATTATTTTCGCTTAGACTACTCAATATCAAGCTGTATAATTTTTTAAAAGTAGTCAACTCCTATTACAGGAATTCTCTTATTATATAGAAGTCTCAGCAGCTTCAAAGCCTTTGGACACAATTACAACCTGGGAAGTAATTGAAAAGAAACCCAGAATCAGCCAAATCAGCCTTCACAAAAGCCAGTCACTAAGAGAAGCAGAAAGGAAGGGTGAGGGCCAGGACTTCTGTGAGGAAGGCAAAAGTGTCCTAGAAATTTCCAGGAGATTTTACCTTGCAAGTAACGGATCTTGACCATGTGAGAGGCCTGTCAGGAAATGTAGTAGTTTTAGCTACAAATTCGCTGCTCCAAATAATGCCCAAAATTCTATGTGTAAAGAAGAAAAGGAGGGTGGACCTTGAGTGAGAGGTCCAGCAATCTAAGCAAAGAGGCTGTAGTGATTGCTGTGTCTCTTGAGAACTTATGTCCCTGGAAGTGACCTCTGAGGGCCAGCCTCTGAGGCTCCACCTTGGAAACATCCCTGGGTCTGAATGTTCCATTATCCACGACTGTGCAACAACAACAACAAAAAAGTCTGCGTTGGTGGGACTGTTTGCAAAGGCCCGGCCACCAGCCGGGCTCCGCGCTTTGCCAAAGCTTATGGCATTCCTCTCATGACGAGTGTCCTTTTAGTTCACTGCAAGACATCGCTCCTTGTTGACGGGAGGTTGGAATGTTGCCTTTGGCTCCTGGCAAACTCCTACGAGGGAAGGTAAATCCTGCTGTGGTCTGGAATAGGGCAAAGAGTGAGCCCTAAGATCCCTTAGCAACCAGGGAGTTGTTGGGAGAGGGCAAATCCTGCTGGTGAAGCAAGACCCCTATAGGGGCTAGGAAGGAGCATTAAGGACCCTCGGCACCCCTGATCCTGACTGGTGTTAGCGTTAGGTTGTGGGCAGAAGGTCCTCCAACGTGCTCCTGCCTGCACCGGTAAAGCCTGTGTGTGCGAAGCTGTATCTGCCAAGGACGGAGTTGAATCCCATTTTGTATTTCCAGGCAAGCCCAGGGCTGGGAGTGCAGGCCGGCCGTGACCTGATTTGCCTCAGAACCTCAGCGATGAGTCACAGCCTCTGCCTCTGCCTCCCAAGTACGCGGGAGCAGTCAGGGTATGGCTGGGTCTGGCGTGTATGTGGATCCAGTTGCCAAATTGAAACCAAAATTTTGGTAGATGGAGTCAGGCAGGGTTGGTGATGTCTCAGATCTTTCTTTTAGGGTCAGATTTCTTTCTCCAGCCTCCTTGGTTGACATGCAGACATTTATTCTGCCCTCATCTTGTTATTAAAACTGCACTCGTAGGGGCACCTGGGTGGGTCCGTCAGTTAAATGTCCGACTTCGGCTCAGGTCATGATCTTGAGGTTGACGAGTTCGAGCCCCGCATCGGGCTCTGTGCTGACAGCTCAGAGCCTGGAGCCTGCTTCGGATTCTGTGTCTCCCACTCTCTCTGCCCCTCCCCCCCACTCACATTCTGTCTCTCTCTGTCTCAAAAATAAATAAACGTTAAAAAAAATTTTTTTTAAACTACGCCTGTGAAATGTCGTTGAAGAACCATACTTTTCTCAGTGCTTAACAAAATGACATTTAGGTAATAAAGGATGTGGGTACTTAATGATAAAAATAACAGCTAACATTTATTAAAACTTATTTGGCACAGGTATTGACATGCATTATCACGTTTACCTTACAAAAATCTGACATGGTGGACACTCTGATTACCACCATATTATTAGATAAAGAAGGTAAGGAAGTGAGAGGTTGTACAGTTAGCAAGAGGTGTCCCAGTATTTGAACCCTGGCAGCCTGACTCCAGAATTAGGCTTTAGCACTTCTGAGAGTGACTATATTCATAATATAAAACGATAGCTCACAATAATGACAACACTATTAACAACAGGCTGACAGATTCATTCATTCATCCAGAAAACACTAAGTACTAAGCTACTAACCTAGTACTACCTCCTGTCATTTGTGAGCAACATAAACTGTGTTCTAGATCTCACAGTGCTAACAATCCAGTAGACTCGGTGGGGTGATCTTATGCCATTAGGCTAATCAACAAGAAACTAAAATGTAGCTTTGCAAATGGCCAGTATTTGCAAAAAAACAACGTGAGTGCAATTTGAAGATGATCAAACTTCAGCCTAGATCGTAAAAGCTTGTGCACGGATATTTTGTAATGCTGCCCCCAGATGTCCCAGTCAAGGCAAGATACTTGGGAACAAAACATCTGGAACGGAAGGACGTGATTCATAAGAACTTTCTGCTAACTATTGATGTGCTGGGAAGGCGCCTTCAGAAAGCACACAGACACGAATAAAGAAGTGACTGGCTCAACGGGCGTTTCCAGCCCTTGTATGAAAACCTCTGAAAATGAAACTTCTGGGGGGTCACTCCGCCGAAACGACCACAGAACCTGCTTGTTGGCTTTCTTCCCGTTAGGGGTGTGTACTCAGTTCCACAGTGTGGCGTGGCCGAAAACAGCTGGAGGCTTGTGGGTGAGTACAGAGGTGTGAGTATGAATAGGAGCTTAGGTATCAGGAAACTTCAAAACGATGATACTTTGGGGGATGATTTGTTGTTGTTGTTGTCTTAAGATTTTATTTATCTTTTAATTCATTATTATTTTTTACTGTTTATTTAAGAATGACCTGAGTCAAAATCAAGAGTCGGACGCTTAACCTACTGAACCACCCGGGCGCCCCTAAGATTTTATTTTTTTAAGTAATCTCCACATCTAGCGTGGGGCTCGAACTCACAACCCCAAGACCAGAAGGGGTGTGGTCTGCTGACTGAGCCATCCAGACACTCCCAGGATGATTTGTTTTTTAACATTGTTCCCCAAGATTTTGCATAGTAAACATTATTATTATTTTTTTTTTTAGTATTTTTATTTATTTCTAGGAGAGAGAGAGAGAGACAGCGTGAGCAGGGGAGGGTCAGAGAGAGAGGGAGTCACAGACTGAAACAGGCTCCAGGCTCTGAGCAGGCAGTCAGCACAGAGCCCGACGCAGGGCTTGAACCCGCGAACCGCGAGATCATGACCTAAGCGAAAGTCGGATGCTCAACCGACTAAGCCACCCAGGCGCCCCAACATTATTATTTCTTTAAATATTTATTTATTCTTGAGAGAGAGAGTGAGCAGGGGAGGAGCAGAGAGAGAGAGAGGGTGACACAGAATCCAAAGCAGCTCCAGGCTCTGAGCTATGAGCACAGAGCCTGACGAGGGGCTCGAACTCATGGACTTCGAGATCATGACCTGAGCCAAAGTCAGACGCTTAACTGACTGAGCCACCCAGGTGCCCCAAAACTATTAATTGTTGGACTTTAATTCTTTCTAACTTCTCTGTAGCATTTAACATTGCTGATTACAAGTCTTAAAATAGTCTACTCTCTTGAATTCTGTGATGCTGGCCTTTCTTAGTTACCTCTCTGTTTAGCTTCCTTGATAGCTTTCTCTCTCCTCCATTCCAGAGACTCGAGGGTCCCCTGAGCCACAGATCTTTCGCTGAGTCCTACATGTCTATTCCTAGCGTCTCACAGTCCTGGAGGGAATGTTGGTATGGATGAATCCAGTGACAGAGAATTCTCTTGGGGCAACTGAGATTGGTGGGTATTCCATGAGGTGCACACGAAGGTGGAGGTCATTGACTGAAGAAAACAGATTACAGGAGCATGTGCAGAATAGAAAGCCCCAGCTGGTTCCTCCTCATTGGAGTGCTATACTTTGATTTCAGCTGGACACGGTCTTGCTCTTGACTGACTGACTAAGAGCAATCTGTTCGTGTCTCTTACACAGACTTATCACACAATGCCTTTTATTAGAGATATTTGTGCAGACCCCAAGGCTCTTAAGGACAGACACAGTATGTCAGATGGTAGTAAGCTTCCCCACGGGGTCTATCCAGCTCCCACCATGGGACATGCCCCATAAGCATTTGTTGAATGAATGAACAAATGAACAAATGCTCTTTGTCCTCATGGATAGACTGGCATTGCTTCCCAGCACACCTAACGCTGAACATCTTCCCCTAGGCAAAACCGGTGCAGTCTGCACAACACTTCTGCTTCTGTCAAAGATAGCAGTGGAATCCCAGGTGCCTACCTTGAAATCTCACTTTCTTTCTTTCTTTTTTCCTTTAAAAATGTTTTTAAATTCATTTTTGAGAGTGCACGAGAGACAGAGCACAAGTCGGGGAGGAGCAGAGAGAGAGAGAGAGAGAGAGAGAGAGGGAGACACAGAATCTGAAGCAGGCTCCAGTCTCTGAGCTGTCAGCACAGAGCCCGACGTGGGGCTCAATCTTGTGAATGAGATCATGACCTGAGCTGGAGCTGGATGCTCAACTGATGGAGCCACCCAGACGCTGCTCACCTGGTTTCTAAATCTTCCCCTTCC